TTTTTTTTTTTTTTTTTTTTTTTTCATAAAATGAGAAAACGAAACCTCAATTTTAAAGGTGGTTGACAGTAAAAATAACTTAAACTTACAAGTTGACTTTGTTCCGTTTAACGCGCTTCGTTGAAATTCTTTGAAAGTGAAAGTTTTGCAACCGATAGCAACAAAAAGATCTCGATTCCTAGTTTTATTGTTGATCAATTAAAAGTAGTTCAGTGGAACCCCACCTTACGGCCACCCCATTAATATGGCCTTTTATTCTGGCTCAGTCAGTCATTTTCTTATTTAAAGAACCCCTTTAATACGGCCACCCCGTTAATACGGCCAGATTTTCATGGCCCGTTGGTGACCGGAAAAATGGGGTTCCACTGTATATTTGGGACCCATGTGATATTGATACAAACTTAATTGCAACCATTCACGATATATGTGTACAGATGTACAACTTATTTATTCAAGAGAGTACTTTAATCTTCTGTTGATTTGTTTTAATCCTCAGGATAATCAAGACGCGAATGTTGTACACGGGTGTAGGCCAGGTTTCCACCACATTTAAAGCTGACAGCAGGCGCAACTTGGTGTCAGCGGTAGCCAAGCTTTACCCAAGCCCTGATTGGAACGTTGGTATTGACCGGATTAACCTGTGTGACGGAAATTGCACGTGGAGACGAACTATCGTCAAAGATCTTTACCCATGGGATGCTGGTAATGGAAAAAGAATATTATAAGTTTTATTTTAAGAAACAACACGGCACTTTTGATTCTTGAAGAAGCAATGTTTCGACAGTCTCCACAACAGAGTTAAATTTTATTTGAATGACTATACAGAATTAATACAAGTCTTAACAGCTGGGATTTTTTTAATAATTGTAAAATTTGACAAGAGAGCAGAATAATGCATAGCTAGAGTTCTCATATAGCTATGAGTTCGAACTTGTTAGTGCAACTTAAGAGACAAGCCGTGAGGGTACCTTTGAAGGACCTCTATTAATTTTCCACTGTTTTTGTGTGCGATAATATATGATACTAAATATAAAACAAAGGAAAAGTTGACATTGAACCAAGGTCAAAATTGTACCACAACACGCATTCAACAGAGCAGCGGTACCTCCTAGTGACTTTGTACTTTGAAAAACGAGTCAAGCTTTAACTTTTCTAACCTTCTTTCAATGGTTTAAAGTTTAGTGAGCATCCTTGTAGTTAACAATCACATTAAGACAGCGTCCGAGTCATTCAGGGCAAACGTGCTTTCGTTTTCAAACATATTTATTTATATCATCTCCTTAAAACTGAAAAACAGCGAGATCTTTTGAGCTTGTAATCGATCAAATCCGTCGATGTTTTCTAGGCACGGATGACGGGATCACCTTCACCTCAGCGAATTCCAAATCTGTACCTCAGCAGCCTATAAGGAACATCACCACGAATACACACTCCCATGGCTCATTCCCAAGTAAAGATGGGAGCGACATTACACGACCTTTTGGGCAAATTAAACTGCAGCTTATGCAAACTTTCGGAGACTGCGGAAAGCCAGGACTCCCTCCCTTCCCCGTGAGACGTAAGTGTTTCGTTCGCTGAGTTAGCTAGCTGCTGCTATTGCTGTTGTAATGACTGGTTATGCAGCTCTTTCTCTACATTGAACGTAGTCTCTTGTATTGTGAGTCTCAATATGATTGGCTGTTTCATTACTGGTCAACTGCCCCAGAGTGTTTATGTTGAGGGACTATCGGTTGATATCCTCCTGCAGAAATTCAAAGGGAGTTATTAGACCATGTCCCCAAGACAAACTTTAGCAAACGCGTGCATGAATATGACGCACAGGTTAATGAAGAAATACTGTGTGGCAACCTGCTCATACGTTTTACCCTTCTTTTCACTCATCATGTTTATTGTCGTTGCTGGATTTGTGTTTCAAACAGCACCAAGAGTTCATTGTGAAGTTTCCCGCTGGTCGTCATGGAAACCGTGCTCTGTCACCTGTGGTCGCGGCGTACAGCTTAGGGGCCGAGCAGTTATCAAGAATGAAATGAATGACGGGATACCATGTCCACATCTAACGGAGTCCAGATCCTGTATCCAGCCCAATTGCTCCGGTAGGTGAAAACGTCACATCATTGCTGTCTTTGACTATAAGTTATGAAAGTACTTCTCAAAAGCTTCCGTTTAATATTCACCCGTAAGGGTTCATATACAGCCTCACAACATAATAGAGCGGTTATCAACTCAGTATCCCAATAGTAACCTGGATTACTTTTATTTTGCTTTACTGCCCTCTGTGACTGGGTTAAAAAGCTCGCGTCGTTTGCGCAACTTATCAGCTGCCTAGCTATAGCCTCGCGCGAATTTAGTCACGCGCGTTTTTAGCACGCGCTCGCCAACAGTTTTGTGGACATTTACTTCGATTTCTCATTGGCTTGTTGCATTGATTACGTTTGTTGTGATCGGCTTGTGTAATTGCGTTTGACGGTTGAAAACTGATCTAAACAGTGCCATTTCTTCTGCGATCAGACGTTCTTTTCGTTAATGGTGGCAGACGAAAAGAACGCCTGATCTTGCATGAGGTTTCAGAAATTTAGACTCCGGCAGTGAAAGGGTTTGGTCCTTGGCAATGTCCAAGGGAATTTAGCTAAGAACAATTTGGGGCTAAACCGGTTAACACTTTAAATGTTTTTTTCTTCTTAGTGCCCAAACCGTCCAATTGTAAGCTTTCTCCTTGGTCGTCTTGGAGCGGGTGTCGTGGCACGTGCAATAGAGGCGGACGATTTCGCTCGAGGACAATTCTACAAAAAGCGGAGCCTGGGGGAAAGCCGTGCCCTGACACAAACTCTCTTATCAAATGGAGGCGCTGCAAGCTTCCAAAATGTTCGTCAGAAAAGGCCAACGGTAAGGCTATAACTACTACGCATTTGAATATTTCACGATACATGATATGCCGTTTTCCAAAAACTGAGGTGGTACTGCTTTCACCTGATTTATAGTGTCTAAGGTTCAATTGACTTTTGCAAGATCATTATGACGGGAACTCTGCATTACAGAAACTTTTTTAACCTGATATCAGACACGGGCATTTTTTTTTTTTCACCGTGGCAGAAAAAGAACGCCTGATCGAAGATTTTTTCTTTTCTTTTTTATATCGTAAAAAATACGTATTTTTTTACATCTTTTATTTTGAAAGTTCTTGGTCAGAGGGCGACTTATTTATCATTAACTACTGTCAACTGCACCCTCTAAATAAAGCTGCTTACTATTTTCTTACTCTTAGAACGTTTTCAGCTCAACCATCTTCTGCACTGATCATGAACTATATACATGTTAAATGATTTCAAGAAGGCAACACCAGAATCAGAAAAATGCAATTGATCAACTTAGGAAGAGTCTTGACTGAAAGCTAAATTTTTCCAAGACAATTTGAATAAAATATAGGACTGAGAGGTGGTTAGGAGAATTTTGACATTGGGTTTGGCTTCGTTTCTTTAGACTGTATAGTAACGGGATGGTCTCCTTGGACTCCATGCTCCAAAAAGTGTAACAGAGGAAAAAAGTTTCGAGTAAGAAAGATCATAAAAAGCGAGAAGAATGACGGAGCAAGCTGCCCGACAAAACTTAAAGAGAGAAGAAAATGTACTCCTGTCAAGTGTTCTGGTAAGAAACAGTTTTACTTGAAACATACCCCCTTTCCCCTTGACCAGCGTCATCCAATCTCGTCCCCAGAGCCGAAGGTTTCTTTTGGTCACGGGGTCGGCGAAACGGAGGGCTCTACTCGTAACGACATTTTAAAACGAGTAGCACTGTGGACTAGAATGAGTATCAGCAAAACGGAAATTCTGCTCTTGGTTTATGTTTACTGGTGCGCATGCCCTGACGTTTAGAGCAGCTGGCCGTTGTATATTACCTACCTTGCTCTGCACTATATCTAATAGACCATTTTACAGTTGTCTGCTTAATGACCTGGCCTTTGAATGGCAGCGAGGCTGCAGGTGACCTTGTTTTGATACAGACCTCACTGCTTTTGTTGTGCAAATCAAGTTTTTCTTATGCTACTAGTTGGCATTTAAATAAGAAAAGCACAGAGGTCTGTATCAAAGCAAGGCCAACTCCAGCCTCTCTTGCATTCATGGCCAGGTAACTAAGCACACAACTGTAAAATGGCCTATTTGCGTAGTTTAGCATAACTGGATGTAAAATCCACCACTATGACATAATTATGTTAAACGTAAAGTATTTTACAGCCTTTCTAATCAAAAGGTGAGTCAAATGAAGGCAGTTAAACTCCAATTTGGTGACAAGTTTGCTTAACAGTGACAAAACTTGAAAATAAATGAAATAAATAAATAAATAAATAAATTCTAAAGTCACTTAATTTTTAAATGGGTTGTAAGGTTAGTCCACGCGACAATTAAGAATGAGGCAGTTTGTAGTGTTATGAAGCCATTTCACACAACATCGAGAATGAAGTCACGGGGAGAAAAATAATGAATTAAAAAAAATTCTGTTAGACGACAAGACCATCACCATGTCGATGATTTCCGTTACTATCTCAAAAAAAGATAAATATGACAAAAACAACAAAAAAAACACAATAAATGCCGGGACCAGGATTCGAACCTGCGTTACTGCGGCCACAACGCAGAGTCCTAACCACTAAACTTCTCTTGGTGATGTTTCTGAAAATCAAAAAATATATATATACCCAAGCTGACAAGTTTTTTCAACATGGCTAAAATAAAAATTAAATAACAAAAGCCTGAAAATTCTTATTTACAGCAAAAAAAAATATTTATATACCTAAGTTTACAATTTTTTTACACCATGGCTAAAATAAAATTAAACAACTGGAGTTTAAAAAAGAAATGCCGGGACCAGGATTCGAACCTGGGTTACTGTGGCCACAACGCAGTGTCCTAACCACTAGACGATCGCGGCTTAC